GTAGACGGGGGCGACTGGAGCTGGAGCTGGCACTGGAGCAGCCATAGGTGCAGCTGGAGGTGCAGCGAAAACTGGAGCTGCTGGTGCAAGCACAGGTGCTGCAACCTGGGCGAAGCCAGGAGTGAGAACGGGTTTCGCTGCCGCATAGTATCTGCCGTAGAATGGTCCATTTACTGCTACCTGAGCATTGGACACGGCGATTGCGGAGAGGAGAATGCTGAAAACGAATTTATGATACAATCATTGGAATGTTCGCTATTTTTAGAAACTCTGAGGAGCAAAACCATAGTCTTCTTGACTAAACACAATCAAAAACTAGAATGGTATTGCATCGGAAAGGTGCGGATGTAAAGGTAATAAAAAGGGAAAAAAGTGATACTTGCAGAAAATGGCATATAAGCTTACCAAATGAATTGTGAAGCCATTGCACTGATTCGATCGTGGATGCTGCTCCAGCTCCACACTGCTCTTTTATGTATGTCGTGTAGCTTGCGGCGACGACCGGTAGGGGCGGATGCTCTTACCGAATCTCAGCTGCGAACCCGGCAGCGATTACGAAACATTGGATAGAATTTCGAAGTGGTTCAAACCTGTTTTTGAAACGAACGGTCTATAGTTGGAGTTAGATATCACAAACCAATAAGAAAAACCGACTGAACTCACAGCTGTCATTTAAATTACAAAATACTGCATTAGAAGAACATAGCAATCACTAAAAATTCCAAAACATCAGAAATTTGTGCTTTCATTTTGATTTATAGTTCTAAAAAAAACTTTGCTTGCGAGAAATCTTTCACGGCCATAGCATTCTTTGAGTTGACGGGAAAGCCCAAGAATAAAATAGAATAAGATTAGGAAGAACACGTGTAACAATTCTTTTTCATATCTTTCTTTTCATTTCTGGTAGCTTCATTGATGTACAAATACTAATCCCAGCTTATGTTATCACTTTCATGGGCTAAGTTTTCTCCATGTTTTTTCAGTGAGACAGCGTAATGTAAATTATTCTTTTAGCAGCCGTAATCTGACGGCCAGCTCCCTTTATCGCCATCTTTCGATGGGTAATTTTGTAGTGACTATTCTTTCTAGCTCACGCGACAGTATGATGGAACAGCCGTATTTTCTTCCCTAGATTTACCTTTGCACAACGTATTTCTTCTTTCCAACAAACTATACTTCTCAAAGGATATGCCGCAGAATGGAATAGTCAAACATGCTGAATGAAGTATGAGAAACAAAAGAAGACTAAG